TATTTATTTATTTATGGCTCTGTTGGGTCTTTGTTGCTGTGTGTGGGCTTTCTCTAGTTGCGGTGAGTGGGGGCTACTCTTCATTGTGGTGCGTGGGCTTGTCATTGCAGTGGCTTCTCTTGTTGCGGAGTATGGGCTCAAGGTGTGCAGGCTTCAGTAGTTGTGGCACGTGGGGTCAGTATTTGTGGCTTGCGGGCTCTAGACTGCAGGCTCAGTAGTTGTGGCACATGGGCTTAGTTGCTCCACGGCATGTGGGATCTTCCCAGACCAGGGCTCGACCCAGTGTCCCCAGCATTGGCAGGTGGATTCTTAACCATTGTGCTACCAGGGAAGCCCCTATACTCTTTCATACTGTTTCAAGTTTTTGTTTTGGTTTGTATTTTTTTTAAAGCAAGTGCATATGTTATAATATACACATATACATATACCCCTAAGAATGTGATAATCTTCAAAACTAAGCTTCCTCTCAAGCCTAGGAAGGATAATTCAACAATTAAAAAAAAAAATTAGGGCTTCCCTGGTGGCGCAGTGGTTGAGAGTCCACCTGCCGATGCAGGGGACGCGGGTTCGTGGCCCGGTCTGGGAAGATCCCACATGCCGCGGAGCGGCTGGGCCCATGAGCCATGGCCGCTGAGCCTCCGCGTCCGGAGCCTGTGCTCCACAACGGGAGAGGCCACAACAGTGAGAGGCCTGCGTACTGCAAAAAAAAAAAATAAATAAATAAATAAAAAATCAAGAACTCAAAAATTAAGTTATACTGAAAGGATGTTCATTATGTAAATGTATCCTGGATTTAAAGGTTCAGTTTCTCATACTCATGATACTCTGATTTCTTACTCATTAAGGTCTAAATTCTCATTTTAGCCCAAATCAAACCCTACCAGAAACCTGGTATGTTTAATTATGTCTAATTAAGGCCAAATTAATAAAAATAGGTATATTTAAAAATATACTCAAAATGAGAAAAACTACACGTACAGAATAAGGCTCAACTCAAAGGACTTCTTTAAATTTTAGTATTAGTAGCTATATGACTCTTTAAATGTTAAAGCAAAGAAAGATATTGTTTTAGCTTGAGTGAAAAATTAAATAATTTAGTGAGGTTTCTCTTTAATCATAGAAAGGGAAAGAACATGAAAGTTAGGTACAAATTGGAAGTGTTAAAGGCTACAAAAAAATGAGTGGCTATTTTTGACTGCAATAAGGATTTTTAAAACATCAGGAATGTTTTATCACCATTATTTTTTCTCTTGTTTTTACAATGTATTCATCCCACTTATTTAGTAAAGCAGTCCTTTGATAAAATGACTCAGGATGCCTATTTCATCTCAGAGGTAGCAGCTTCCCCTTAACGTGGGAAGGCAAGAACTGTGATCCAGAATTTCAACTCAGAAACTTTGGGCAATATAAGCAGGACTACCTAGAATGCCCTTGCAAGACTTGCTCATGACCTTCAATATGGAGCCACTTCATGGTTACCTGGTACACGGGGCTGGGGGTCGCAGCCACTGAATTGGGTTTCACTTCTACTTCCTTACTTGTTTCTTCATCTGAAGAAGAGGACCCTGAATGATAATCAGAGGTAACCTTATCAAGGGCCCTGGTCACTTTCTTGGAAATCTCATCCTTGTTCTCATCCTCATTTTCAAAGCTGGCAACAATGAATGCGTTGTTTTTCTCTCCATACCTAAGAATAAAAAACCCAAAAAACTTACACACCTTGAAGTCACATCAACAAATCAAGGAATGTCCATAAAAACAACTGAACAGGTCTGGACATGCCATCAGTCCCAGGCAAAGAATGAACCCTCCCAGAACTTGATTCTACATCTACAGTATCCTAACCCAGCTCCATGCCAACAGGCAGGCCACAATTTTCTACTTCTGGTCTATTAAAGTACAAATAAAAAGTGACCTCATTCTCTTTTCCAATTTCTTTTCTACTGCCTCCTGACAAAAATAGTTGTCTATGATATCAGAGAAACTCATTGTTTTGATTACATTTTTGTATGTACCATTGAAACTGGCCATACAGAACTTTCTAAGAAAATTTTAATTGACCCTTATAACGTAGATCCTAGTAATTCAAGTCAAAAATCAGACATTTCCTATGGGATTTACTTTTACCACGATTTAATAAAAAAGAGGCCTCTGTTTCCTATATCCACACTGACAAAAACGAGAATTGAGGCAACTGTTGAAGTTAAAGGGGGGAAAAAAAACTACTGTTGAGGAAAATAAAAGGATTTTGCTTGAATTATACTGCTGATTTCATAGAGATTCCTATGATAAATGCTTACCCCTCATCTTAATTTTTTTTAATTAAGTGAACGTTTTTATCCTTCCAAAACATTTTTAAAGCTTTGATCTAAGAAAAATAATTGTCAGAACATGTAACTTCGGCTGTTGGGTACTAGAAAAAAGGAAAATAAATTCTGCAATGAGGGAAAATAGCACAACACACAGTAAAACTAGGAGTTTTCATTGAGAGGACAGAGGAGAAACCCACAAATCCATTCAAATAGATTGCACAACATAAACAATATGAAACAATTTCTACGAAGTGTTAGGACAAAGGAAATGAATTGTTAAGCAGTCTTACATAGCATGTAATTAAAGTGATTCTAAGCTTAAAAAAATATAAAAACATCAACAGAAAATAGGGTTAATTGACTATTATGTCAATTAATTTCATTCATGATCATTCTTGTCTCAAATTATTTCTGAATCAGGATGATATCTACAATTAAGTAAAAGGCCTAACTGCAACAAAGCCTTTGAAAGTTTAAATGGCAATCAAGTAGTTTCACAGGTGAGTTCTGTTTCTTTCAACTGTGCTATCTTCCATTCTCATAGGCTGGATGGGGCCAAAAATGCAATCTAAATATGGTACATAATTTCCTTTTCTATTCTTTTTCAGTCTCTCTCATAAAAGAAGTTGCTGCAGGATGGTGGAAAGAGCACTAGACATGTTTCTGGTTCTGTTCTGTCATTAACTAGCTCTGTTACCAGGTGCAAGTTATTTAATCTCTCCCGGCCTTAGTTTCCTATCTGCAGAATGATGAAGCTGAAGATAGCTGGATAGTGGTTATTAGTCTTCAGCTGGTGATTCTTCTTAGTAGAAGATGCCTGAACAGTGGGAAGGGTTCTTCACAACACAGAATTCATGGAAGAATAATTTCAAGATTACTTAGCCTTGGGTTGTAGCAGTGGAAATCTACCCCTTGATCCTCTCCAGGTTTAAAGATGCAACAAATTTCAATAAAATCAAAGGTTAATTCATATATTAATACCAGCAGTATTAACAATGGGCTTAGGCCTACCTTCAGTATTGCCCATTAACGGAGTCAAAATTCAAGCAAAACAGAAAGGCAAGAAATTTAAGAAAAATCCCTGCCTCTGTAGAAACAGAAACCTAATCCAAGGGCAGACATCTAATGATTGAAGGATCAGCTTTATTAACTCAGGTTTCTTGGACACTCAAGCTCAGTTAGGTTCTCCATTTTTCCCGTGGTAGTATTTTGGTATGAGGGCTCTCTTCAGGGTAAGTGAAGCTACTTACTATATTACTGTAACATTAGAATGTGCAGTTAATTCCTCAGAATTCGTAATGGACAACTTTTAAATTTTCCAATTTTCAATGACACACTGCTAAAACATTCAGGCCTATTGAGTTAATTTGAAACAAATCAATAGTATCTATTGCTCTTTATCAGGAAAAGAAAGGATTATAGAAATTACAAACAAACAAAAAAAGAAGTGTAGAATATTGAGTAGATAATAAAGCTGCCAGCTATTTGCAGGCCTTCTCCTTATAGGATCTGTTGTCTATTCAGTATCTTCTCAAATATTTCACTTAGTGAAATATTTCTAACTATATAACACTTTGCACTCTTCCAATATTTATCCTGATGGAATAACTCTATGAAGAATGTTCTCTTTGAGTGCATTTCAATTTTTTTCATAACCTTAGTCTTTAATATGCCAATGAGTTATTATTTTTAATAATTCAGATATTTATTCAATTATATAACTGCTATATCAGCTTTAATTTTCAGAATAGTTCCAGTTTTGGTCCAAAAGCACTAATATCTCAGTCTCCTCAATTTATAGCAATCACCTCTACCCAATCACTAACAGATCTTTCTTTCTGGGATTTCTATCATCACTGAATGAGCACTCATATTCTGAAGATATCAATAATTTCTATTAACTGTGAAAAACCTCACATCATAGCCAATTTGGGGCAAAATTTTGATCATATATAAAATAATTAGAAGGCTAATGAATGCAAAGATTTTCTTATATTAACAAGATTAAAGCACAGTAATTTTTTATTATCTGGCATAATCAAGTAATGAAGTATCCACTTAAGGAGAATGTCCATGTAACTAAAGCTTTTATCTTCAGGTGCCAAGATGTAGTTTAAGCATTTCAAATAAATGTCCAAAATGTTTATATAATTAGCCAACTTCTTAAACATCCTTGGATATGGAAACTTTTCCCTAATGATTTAAGTCGTTGTATTAAGTATTCATTATTTGATGTTGTGATAATACATTTGGGTCAACTCTTTTGCTTTTTTGTTCCTGCCTCTATGTCAGACTATTACTTTTTTTTGTAGCTTTATGACAACAGTATCCTGGGGGATTGGTTCCAGGACCATCCCTGCTTCCCTCCAATGCCAAAATCTGTGGATGCCCAAGTACCTTAAATAAAATGGCATGGTACTTGCATACAACCTATGCACACCCTCCCATACACTTTAAACCATCTCTAGATTACTTATCATATCTAATGCAATGTATATGTTATATAAATAGTTGCATGGCATGGCAAATTCAAGTTTTGCTTTTTGGAACTTCTTCCCCCCCCCCCCCAAATATTTTTGAACTAAAGTTGGTTGAATGCATGGATGTGGAACCCTCAGATACAGAAGGCCAACTGTACTAGGAACAATCACCTTTCAAATGCCACGTAATTTTTTATGGGCTGAAAAACCACACAACTAACTTAAAAGAACTGTGTGTTAAGTAAGAGTAAATCATGATCAAAGTGTGGGCCTCATAAAAAGTAAACATTTCAATATAGTAACTTTGTGATAGCTATTTCTTGTATACTGAGGTCTTCTGCAGGGATTCATTCAGTGGTCCAAGTCTATAAAACAAAGTCTGATCCTGGCCTATGGTAAGTGCTTAATTAGTCCCAGACTCTAAAAATGTTTTACCTTCTTAGACCAAAAATTGAGGTATCTTGCTCTTCCTTTTTCTGAGAAATAAGTATTGGAGAATCAACTACCTACACCCGGTTTCCCAAAGCAATAAGCTTATATAAGCCACCAGTTTATATCAAGCAGCTCCAGGGTGGTCCAGAAAATTGTTGCAGGATTACCATGTATTTTTCCAACATGTCTTCACCACCACTTTCATTGCTGGAGATCAGGTCAAAGGCTATGACCACCTTTGGAACATATTAGGGTTGCATCAAAAAGCACCTCTACTATAATCAATGGGTGAACTGTACCTCTAAACCAAAGAGAAAACCCTAAAGAACAGCTGTAGGAAATTACTCACAAAGGTTCCATGCATCTATTCATCCTGTTCCTCCTGCCTGGAAATGTCCTTCCAACCTTGTCATCTAGTCAACTGCAACTCATCCTTCCCCACTCAGCTCAAGTATCACATACTCTACAGTCAGCCCTCCATATCCATGGGTTCTGCATCCATGCATTCAACCAACCACAGACCAAAAACATTTGGGGAAAAAAAATCCAGAAAGTTCCTAAAAGCAAAAGTTGAATTTTTTTCAATTCAAGCAACTATTTACATAGCATTCGCATTGTACTTACAACTATTTACACAGCATTTACATTGCATTAGGTATTATAAGAAATCTAGAGATGATTTAAAGTATATGGGAGGTTATGCATAGGTTATATACAAATACTACACTATTTTATATAAGGGACTTGAGCATCCGAGGATATTGCCTCTGCCTGTGGTGTGTGTGTGCATGTGGCCGGGGCGGGGGCATGTTCTGGAACTAATCCCTCACCAATACCAAGGGCTGACTATAGTCTTTCCTGAGGCAGTGACTTTCTCCTTTGTGCCACCAACTACTGCATTTTGTACATAATTCTATTATAGCACAAATCACACTCTGTTATAATCTGCTTATTCTTTCTTCTCCCTTATTACACTCTGAACTACCTGAAAGAAGAATGCCACTTTCATTTTTTAAAAACCCTACAACTAAGAATGCCTGGTCCAAAATGAGTATTTTAATTTAATTTAATTTATTTATGGCTCTGTTGTGTCTTTGTTGCTGCGCGCGGGCTTTCTCTAGTTGCGGGGAGCAGGGGCTACTCTTCGCTGCAGTCCACGGGCTTCTCATTGCGGTGGCTTCTCTTGTTGCGGAGCACGGGCTCTAGGCACGTGGGCTTCAGTAGTTGCAGCACTTGGGCTCAGTAGTTGTGGCTTATGGGCTCTAGAGCACAGGCTCAGTAGTTGTGGCGCACAGGCTTAGTTGCTCCACAGCGTGTGGGATCTTCCTGGACCAGGGCTCAAACCCATGTCCCCTGCCTTGGCAGGCCAATTCTTAACCACTGCAGCACCAGGGAAGCCCACAATGAGTATTTTTAGAATGAATGAAGTTCAATTAGATTTCATACCTAACACTCACCTTTTACAATTCTGCTCATTAGGAGACAAGAAATAATTTCCATTATGAAAATAAAACCATGAAAATATCACTCAGCCACTTAAAAACCAAAAAGGGGGAGGGAGGCAAGAGTAGAAACAAACAGAAACAGAAATCAACCAAAAGTTAATATCCAGTATTATTTGGGATTAGTGTCTTTCCTAATTTGAAGAGGGGAAAGACAAGGGCACCACCAATGAAAGAAGATATAATTGACCTATAGGTAGTCTACGTGTCTAAATTCTACAATAGAGTTCTTGGTAAAGCTCGAAAAAAAAACCCCTGCTCTATCAGTTTTTGAGTTTCTTTAGCTGTAAAACAGGAATGTAACCAGTCTTTCACTATCACCTCCAAGAAGAATAGTTTACAAAATTCACAGCTGAGAAAGCCAAACAACCAGCTCCTGGCTATAAAAATACATGCGTAGGCAGTACCTGAGAGAATTTCATAAAATCAGTTCCAGCATGGTAATCAGTTAAGCTGCCAAACTCAAGAACTCACCGACAGCACACCTCACATGGGTCCACCCATAGAGTGAGTTCCTTTGGCAAGCCCAGGTCACTGTACAAAATGCAGCTGTTCTCACAGGCTTTCAGGACATCAGGATCAACTCTCTGAAACTTATTGACACGAATGCATCTACAACAAAGTGGAGTAATGTTAATAGCTTTAAATAAATGTAAATCAGAAACTTTGATATAGCTATTCGTTTTTGCCAACATGAATTTAAAAAAATAAAATGAACCCTGGCAAAGAACCCAGGAATATCTATCCTAAATAGATAATAAATCTGAACTACAGGCAAAGAGGCAGCAGCATCATCAAGACTACCCAGCCTAGTGGAAAGAAGAGTCTGTGTGAGCACAGGGAAATCACCAGAACTGGCTCTACTTCATTTCACACAGAAACTACTCAATCTCACACGTACATTAAATGAGCAAGGAGTATGAAAGTTGCATGAAATTACTTAGAGCTTTGAAGTAAAAGTTTTAATAGGTCAGATACCTATATAACAAAATCTCCAACTCACAAAAGACCTCGACCAGTGGTTCAAATAATATTTGGAAATTCTTGTGACAAGTTTTGATATGTTGTTACCTTGCTTAAGAAGGGTATCCTATGCCTTACCTATAATTGTTCTCTAAATACCGAATCAGTCAAGGACACAGAACCATTCATACCATGTACTTAAGATTAAAATATAATCCAGGGACTTCCCTGGTAGTTCAGTGGTTAAGAATCCGTTTTCCAATGCAGGGGACGCAGGTTTGGTCCCTGGTCCAGGAACTAAGACCCCACACCGCAACTACTGAGCTGGTGTACTCTGGAGCCTGTGTGCCGTGATGAGAGAGAAGCCCGCGCACCGCAACAGAAGATCCTGCATGCCACAATGAAGATCCTGAATGCCACAACTAAGACCCGATGCAGCCAAATAAATTAATTAATTAGAAAAAAAAATCCAAAAGTGTTATTGGCTTATTTCACTTAACCTCTTTTAAAACTCGAGTTTTCCTTTTTTTTTTTTTTTAAGTTATGGAAAGAGAGAAAAAAATTCTAAACCACTAAAGACTGTTCCTTTTTTTTTTTTTTTTTGGTCATGCCACATGGCTTGCAGGGATCTTAGCTCCCCAACCAGGAATCTAACCCATGCCCACGGCAGTGAAAGCACAGAGTCCTAACCACTGGACTGCCAGGGAATTCCCATCTGTTCCAATTTTTCTAACCTAAGAAATACCATTCACAGCTACCTATCAGAATGCTCAAAGATGGTTCTCAGTATGAATGAAAAAATACCTGTTAAAATAAGTATTCTGCTTACATAGAGAAACGTTAGCTACAATGAAAGTATTTACTGCCTACAACTAAGAAATCAATCAAGAGAACCAAGGTTTTAGTACGAGTCCTGAGTACTAGTATTATTGGTTGAATTTAGATAGTCATTTTACTTCTTCAGACGCCCAAAATATGGAAAATATAAGTTAATTGACAAATACTGATTATATTACTAAATACAATACTATAACATCAACAGAATAAGGTACTATTTAAATTTTTTTAAAGTTTAATTATTAGTTAATTTCAACTTTCATTTAAAACAGTGAAAAAAGTTGTCATTAGGTAACAGCTAATACGTATTTCTAAATAATAATAATAATAATAACTCTTTTTGAAGGTTTACCATGCAATCGAGAGTCTTCTAAACGCTCTGCATGTACAGGCATACCTCAGACATTGCAGGTTTGGTTCCAGACCACAGCAATAAAGCGAGTATCTCAATAGAGCTAGTCACACAAATTTTTGGTTTCCCAGTATATATAAAAGTTGTATTACAGTACACTGTAGTCCATTAAGTGTGCAATAGCATTATGTCTAAAAAACAATGTATATAGCTTAATTAAAAACTACTTTATTGGGCCTCCCTGGTGGCGCAGTGGTTGAGAGTCCGCCTGCCGATGCAGGGGATACGGGTTCTTGCCCCGGTCCGGGAAGATCCCACATGCCGCGGAGCTTGCGCGTCCGGCAACGGGAGAGGCCACGACAGTGAGAGGCCCACGTATCACAAAAAAAAAAAAAAAAACTACTTTATTGCTAAAAAATGGTAACCATCTGAGCCTTGGGCAAGTCTTTGTAACAGTAACACCAAAGATCACTGATCACAGATCACCAAAACAAATATAATAATGAAAAAGTTTGAAATACTGTAAGAATTACCAAAATGTGACACAGAGACACAAAGTGAGCAAATGCTGTTGGAAAACTGGCACTGACAGCCTTGCTCAATGCAGCTGCACAAACCTTCAGTTTATAAAAAACGCAATGTCTGTGATGCGCAATAAAGCAAAGCACAATAAAATAAGGTATGCCTATGTTAACTTTTTAAATTTTCACAATGATCCTGTGAGTTAGATACTATTTTCCCCACTGTAAAAAAGAAAGGAGGCAGAGAGAGTTTGAGTAACTTGCCCAAAATTACACAGCTAGAAAGTAATGAATCCAGAGCTCAGATCCAGACCAGATGCCAAAGTTCACTTTATTAAACGACCCTATTATGCCTGTACTTATCGTAACATCACTGTTAACAATTTAGCAAATTCAGAGTAAAAAAAAATATTTTAAGCCATGTAAGATACTCTTTATTCCTTTCTATAAGATGGTCCTATGTTACAGATTCTAATGTTGTGTAGGCTGATTCAAAAGTCCCATGTGCACCAGGATCAAAAGCAATTAAGCATAAGGTAGATCTTAGATGTATGTGTTTGTTTTTTTTATCTACAATGAGGGAAATGTAGGCTCTAAGCTTAAAAAAATATATGTAAATATAGATGCTTAAATAGAGACTCACTTCAACAAAATTTGCATACCTTACATATTTTTATGCTATTTTTTTCACTCTAGATACTGCGACGATTTACCCATTAACCACTCTTCAAAAACAAGATTTTAAAAGCTGCATAAAAATAGTCCATTGTTTACTTAATGTTGACAGTGTAGCGCTTTCCAATTTTTTTGCAATTATAAAGTGTAAGAAATATCCATATTCATACATATTTGTCTGCATTTCTGATTATGCTTCTAGAATAGATTTTAGGAGATTTACTTTTCAAAGACTGTGAATATTTTTATAGATCTTGATAATGTTACCAAATTGCTCTTATTTGTATAAGAGAAACATATCCCCCTACAGAGAAACATACTAATTTATAAAAACTTTAGAAGAAAAAGAACTTTACGGATTGAAGAGTCTACTAACTCTGGTTAATCCTATAGTCTATTCATTTTTATAAAAGAAACGACCCACAATTAACTCAATTAACTCAAAGACGGCTTCAAAATGACTCAATAATGATACTTCTGATTATATGCCAATTTAATCCTGCGGATAACTTTTTTCCTCAAGTTTTTAGAATTAATGGAAATAAAATTGTACACTGTCTGACCTTTAAGCATTTACTTGATAGTGTCTCCTTTTTCAGTAATAGTACGGTGGCTTGGCACTTCCAAAAGCCTTAGTCCAATGTCAATTACATCAGTGTAAAAAGCTTGAACAGCTCTAATTCACAAAAGCTGTTCACTCTATCAGAAATGAAGATGTGCAGAAAAAAATTAAGAGAATCAAGTGAGAGGATAAAAAACAGTAACTTGAGTGCTTTATATAGAACATCCACATTTCTACTTTCACTCACTACATTTTTCCAATATACTAGGAAACCTCTTTGGATAGAAATGAAGAGGAAAATATATCAATTACTTTGATTCTTTTCTTTTCAACAGATCATATGCTCACCTGGCTTTTAGCAAGTGAGAACTAAACAAATCATATTTTCACCTCCCTTGCACACTCCATGAACAGTCTTACACTTTCAAGAGCTCAGCGACTGAAAGGAAGTTCTTTTTACTGTGAAGGGCTCATTTGAGGAGGAATCTTTGGGGGCAGCAATATGCATAAATAAAAGAATTTCCATATTCATGATAGTCACAACTGTTCCACTTTTATTTTTTTGGTCACATCCACAAATGGGGCACGGTTTGACAGCTGAGTTTAGCAGAATATTCTCAACTTAGGTTCCCAAGTAGTCACATAAATACTAAAGAGTGAGCATGCCAGGACATGTTTTACAGGAGGCTGCTCTTCTTTAAACTGTAAATGTAACTTATAAACCACAGTACAAAAGATAGCTGGGAGTGAGAACTGCCTTCACTCTCAGAGACAAGGCTGTGGGAGGACTGTGGTATACAGAAAGCTCATAAGAATTTAGGGTCAGTGAGACCTGAATTCAAATCCCAGAGCTAATATTTACCAGTTGTGAATCATAGGTAAGTTACCTTCATCTATAAAATGGTTACCGTGGCTTCTACCACAACGAATTATGCACAGTACAAATGAAATTATTCCTGTGTCAAGAACATGTTAGGTGTCTAATAATCTTAGTTCTCATTTGCCAAAAAACTTCTAACACGTAACGTGTAATTTACTTTTAAATACAAGGAACTCATTTCCCTCAACCCTTATCATGCTCCCTTTTAAGTGATAGTTTTAGGGGTTCTCTACAATTGGGAAAGCCCTCAACTACCTGTGATACTTAAAGAAAAACACTCAGGAACCACACTATGACCACAAGACTAATTCCCATGAGCCTATACTATTGGCCCCCCAGGTCCAGGCAGTGGGACTCGAAAAACGAATACTTGTATTTTAAAGTGAATAAGGAAAAAATAAAACTGAGACACTCCTGAGTTGGGTATTTTGCAGATAAACTGTGAAAGGCATGGACTGGACACACCCATCATTCCTCTGGCCTGGCACTCATTTGAGGAGCTGATCAGCCTCTTCATTTAGTCCAATCTAACTGTCCAAGCTATTGCTTTACCTGTAGGCCTGTCCTTTTGATGGTTTTTCCGGATACCAGTGATTTTTATATTTTTCTTGAAGTATTAGAGTCAATTTCTCAGCAAACCTCTCGACTGCTTCTTTTTTCAACTTATCATGTTTTCGAACTAGCCTTGTGAAAAAGAAGACTACAGCAGCAATTTCGTTCTTCATTTTTCTCTGCAAAGATAAAATAGTTTTTCTCAAAAAACCAAAACATCAAAACTTGAAGATAAAGCTCTGCAAAATATCCCTCCTTTACAGCAGCACCCCTTCCTCCTTCTAATTTTATCTTGTGTTTCACTGGTTCATATCTGGAGTAGGGAACAGTCACTAATTTATGCCATAAAGACCTTATTATAAAATACAGTTTAAGAGTCTTATCACCTAGCTTTGTAAAGGAGTTCAGTAAAGAGAGCACACCAAATTGTTCCTGTTAGCTAAAATAAAATCAGAGATATCACTCAAAGAGAAGCAATACAATGATACCATTATATAGTTTTTACTTAAATGTGTCAATATTTAGTTACAATAATTCAAGTTTAAAGTTCTATGAAATAACTTGTATTTTAAAACATAAAAGAGTCCACTTTAAAATCCAGTATTGTAGAGCCACTACAGAAGACAGTTTGGCAGTTCCTAAAAAGGTCAGATATATAGCTACCACATGACCCAGCAATTCTACTCCTAGCTCTACACCCAAGAGAAATGAAACCATATGTTCACACAAAAACTTGTACACAAATGTCCACAGAAACATTATTCATAATAACTAAAAAGTAGAAATAAACTAAATGTTGATCAACTGATAAATGGACAAATAAAGTGTGGTATATTATTCGGCAACAAAAAGAAATGACATACTGATTGACATGTGCTACAACATGTATGAAACTTGAATACATTATGCGAAGGGAAAGAAGCCAAAAGACCAAATACTGTAGGACACCAATTATATGAAATGTCCAGAATAAGCAAATCTATATAAACAGAAAGTAGATTAGTGGCCTAGGGGTAGGAGGATGGGGGGGAAGGAGTGATGTCAGTGAGTATAAGATTTCCTTTTGAGGTGATGAAAATGTCCTAAAATTGACTGTGCTGATGGTTGTACAACTCTGTGAATGTACTAAAACCAAAGACCTGTACATTTTAAATGTGTGAATCCTATAGTATGTGAATTATATTTCAATAAAGCTGTTATACACAAAGAAAAAAAATCCATTATCGAGCTTCTGTAAGCACTCTTTCAAGAACAGAGATATATTTACCTAAAAAATATGACCAAAAAACCCCAGCTCTATCAAAACATATTTAAGAGAGTGGAAATTCAGGGTCATTCACAGAAAATCTAAAAGAAATCATCAGAGATTCAGCTGCATATTGGAACTGCCTCAAGAAGGACTCTTTTTAAATGACAGATCTGATTTATCACTGATTAATGCATAAAGGCAAAAACCTTGTACTGGGATTGTTTCGATGTATATTCTGTCTTTGCTTGATGAGCTCATTCATTTGGCTGCTGTAAGTAACTTGGAGTTATTCAGATGCTGCGTTTATTAAGCAACATCACCTTTTCAGAGCCAATCATTAAAGACATACAGCCCCTGTTATGTTTATTGCAAAAACTGACCAACCCAGCCTATAGTTGTGTTCTTTCACATTTAAAAAATACAGCTGATTCTGTTAGCTTCCTTTTTCTTTTCTCAAAGTTGCTCTTAAAGTCCGTCTTCATAAGATTCCTTTCCTCCTTGTGCAAATTCAAACAAGGGACCTCAGTGTGAAATAAATTCTATATGTTATTTGAGAGGTGTGCTGGCAGCCATGGCCACCCTGATGCTAGATGGGAAGACACCCAGACCTTCCTCCTGGAAACCCTAGAATGCCAAGTCTACCTTCTATGGCCAGCTGCACACAACCCCAGCCCTCCACAACTGCTGTGCAGTCTCCTCCTGAAAAAAAGTCAGCCATTTCCACTTATAAAGCTATATTTATACTCCACCACGTTATGATGGAAAAGAAAACCCACTGCAATTTAATACACGGTTTGGGATGAAACTTGCTGATAGAACTCCATTAGCCTCCACCCCACCAAAGAAAACAAGAAAGGTACTCAATCCCTAACTAGCTCATTCTCCTTATTCATTAAATTGGCCAACTATGTTCCACATATCTGAGTTTTGTTTTCCTTTTATTTTTTCCTCTCTGTTTCATATCAAAAAATAAAAGGAAGAAAGGAAGGAAAAGAACCACTTAGTGGTGGCTTTGGGTTGTAACACAAGATGAGTCATATGGAATTACTTTTTTTTTTTTTTCAGTTTGAGGGAATGATGCCTGGAAGAGCTGAGAATTTAACCCACCTCCACCGGTCAGTATTCTAGGAGTACCAAAAGGGCAGCCCTAGAGGGGAGAGTTATGAGGTCAGGGAGAGAGAAACCAGAAGCCAGCAGGGCCAAGAAGCCCTTAGGCGCCTCGAGTAAGTCGCCGCAATTCCTCCACCCACACTCCGAGCGAAAAGCTCCCATTTTAAACATCGCACGGTGACGTCATCCTGGGACGTAGTCACCGAGGCGGCTGCCCCTCAAGTTCTACTTTGTTCCACAGGGTCCTCTGCTCACGGCGGCGGGGAGAGAACCCAAAGGAAAACCCAGTCCTGCCTTCCAGGAGTTCATAACTTTGTACTTTTCCCTCTCTTGTAACGAAGAGCTTCATCGCGGCCGTTTCTAGAAACAAGTATTTCTCCCGACAGACGTTCCCAAGGTTGAGGAAGGGGGGTGGCGGGGGGAGGTCCCCGCCGCGGGGGGTGACGAGCCCTTGACCAGGCTCCAAGGCGACACAAAGCGGGATCTGGACCCCGAGCGACAGGATTCCCACGGGGCCGGGAGTTGGGCTTTGTAAGCCATCCAAGCCTGCTGCTCGGCACTCGCGCTTGGGTTTGAAGAGCGCCGGGTGAGTAGGCACCAAACGTCCCCACCCACTCTTGGAAGAACGGCCTGCACGCGCGTCCAACTTCTGCAATCGCGGGTTTTCCTGAGTTAAGGGGGCAGCGCCCCGAGTCCCCTTCCCTTCCTCCTGCGAACAGCCTCGCAGGGTCCGCAGCCCCCGGGAAGGCTCCAGCCTCCGGCAGCTCCGGGTTCAAGAACCGGGCTCCCCTCAGGCGCGACTCCCGCCCCCCCGCCCACCCAGACAGCGAGACGGATCCCCGGCTCCAGAAAACCCACAGACGCGGAGGGGGAGGGGGCGTGG